TCCGATCACGAACACGTACAACGCGATGTAGTGCGTTATGTATAGGTATAATAGGTATATAGCAAATCGATTTTGAAAAATTATAGGCAAACGCCAATTCCACACGAAATGTAGGTAGTACCATTTTGAATCTCTCTAACCCAAGCTCTAGTCGCATGGAATGTTCTAATAAACTTATTAATGCCAATTGGCTTAACATGAGAAATAGACGTGATTGGCATTCTTTAGGTCTATATAATAAATTTTTTAAGTCACAATCCCCTCCGTATTAATTTATTATTATATTATAAAAACGAGCTGTGGATGTAGCCTCAGCAAACTTGGTTCCAGATAAATCTCGTAAGTTTTATGTAATAGAATATGAGGCATTTACAAAATGGAAACCTAAAAAAAGCATAGCAACATTTTCATCACAATCGGCACTGCTGGTTTATTTTACCAATTAGCTCAGAAATATAAACCCTCATCAAGTCTTTGTGAAACTGAGGTTGGAAGGAGTATACAGGGTGACAATTTGAAAACTTACCACCCCCCATGTCTTAATAAAGAAACGAGATATTTTAAAAAATCAAAATCCGTTTCGGTAATTCGGAGGGGGAATCACATGACATAGTTGGCGACGCACCCCCTCCAACCCCCTGCGGCCCAGCCACCCGAACTTTAAAATCTTAAATAGTCACCCCCCATGTGTGATACGTCGTTGGAAGGTCTGAAAGAATGCTTTCCAACCATACAGAATAGCATTACATTTAGGTTAGTAATTATCGTGCAAATCAAAAAATAAACTAATATTATTATATATATATAATATATATAGTATTTAAAACGCAATCGGCGAACATAGACGAACTAAGACAGAAAATAATTCAAGAATGTCGAAATATTAATTGCAAAACCAACATTTGAAAAAGTTCGACAAGAGTTTGAGAATAGATTATACTATTATCTTACCAATAACGGAAACCATTTTGAACATTTATTGAAATAAAAGCCAACTTTAGAAAATGTATCATATTAGTTTATTTTTTGATTTGCACGATAATTACTAACCTAAATGTAATGCTATTCTGTATGGTTGGAAAGCATTCTTTCAGAGCTTTCCAACGACGTATCACACATGGGGGGGGGGGGTCACTATTTAAGATTTAAAAGTTGAGGTGGCTGGGGCGTAGGGGCTTGGAGGGGGTGCGTCGTGTCGCCACATTCCCTCTCCGAATTACCGAAACGGATTTTGATTTTTTAAAATATCTCGTTTATTTACTAAGACATGGGGGTGGTAAGTTTTCAAATTGTCACCCTGTATAAGCTCCTTCCTTAGTCTTTTATTTCAATGGTTTGAACGTCCCCACATTTTCAGCGTGCTTTGGATGACGTCATAAGCCACGACCAGTATTTGTTTACTTTTAGTGTTGAGTTATTTATATACAGATTTTCAGTTGTAATAGCTATTCAAACCATGGAAAAAGCTAAAAAACCATTTTATAGGTATTGTCTTGTACAAAAGTGCAAAAACACTAATAGAAATATTCCCGATAAAGTGTTTTTTGCAGTTCCAAGAGGACGACTCCCAGAGCGTTCTCAATTTGTTTACAGTTAGTGAACCCTACCTTTTTCAAAAATTCGAAAAATTAATAAATGGAATAATTTCCAAAATACCACAAAAAATTTAATCTATACTAGGCGAATGGAAAGCTCTCGGAAAGACCTACATTAAAAAAAAATACGTCCAAATTCGAGTACACGAGAAATGAGCTTTTGACTTCGGACTTGTTTTCGATACAACCAAAAATGACTGCAAATCGAGTCGCATCGAACGATTCTTTAAACTGTGAACTTTTTAATGCATCTATTTGACCAAAATGTATGATTTTTATTAATCAGAGCGCCAAGGGCCTATTATGGAGTTACCTTCCTTGTTATATTTCGGGCCATTTGTTAGTTAACTTAAAAAAATCCACAGTCAATCAATTTGCAAGAATCATCGGGCCTTTTTTTTGAAATGGTTGTCTTTGGATTCCATCATCTGTAAACAAATTTTGAACGCTCTGGGAGTCACCCAGTTTGAAAGACCAAGCATTGTTTTGTAAATTTGTTTATATAATGGGGTCATCCCGCCTTCATTTTTTATTTCTGATCCACAAAGTACATTAAAAATAAAAAGACCCGTGTGTCCTCAATTTTTATTTGCGAGTAAAATAAACCCAAAATAAATTATTGAAAAGCTGTGTTTTTTGTCCGAATTTGAAACGCTTCAGACTAAATACGTCACAAACCTACAACCAATCACGTAGAAGTGAGCCGGCAACCTTACGCGAGGGTCTGACGTTTGTCACATTTGACGTTTTGAGAGGGATGTTTAACTGCATCTAGCACGAAAGTGACAAGTGCCTGTGACAGATGACGCAAGTTATAAATGCCATTCTCCTGCAATATTGCCAAGTCGTTATGTCATCGGAATGGTTCTAGGAGCTGATTGATCGGGCTTATTACGTCACAGAGCCCGCCATAATCATATCGTTTTGAATAAACCTGTAAAACCGCACATGTTCATTATTTTTTGCTAATCACCCTATATTTTTAAATAAACTTTTACTGTCCAAAAAAATGTTTCATGGTTTCAGGTACACGCTTATTAAATTAGAACTGCGGAATTCAACTATACTGTCTGACTATCACTTTCAGATTCAGCGGATATTTTTACATATAATACAGTTGATTTCGTTGAGTGAGATGACAACACCCAGCCCAATCTGCCCAAATCGTAATTTGACTGGACTGGACTAAGTACTTTTAATATTGACACAATTAAATGCGATCGCGTGGCATTTGACGTCACTTTCATTCGTCCAATACTGATGCGTTTCGCAAACTTGAATTTCGTTTGCTTATTTTGCACTTTTGAATTAACATTTTTTGCAATTACTTAAAAATAAACTAAATAACAAAATGATGGTTTAAGTATAATGCCAGGACAATCAATATTCGCGGGAGAAAGAATCAAATACATTTAAACCACATGCATATTCCCTGTTAGTTTATTCAACGTAATTCGCCAGCAAAAAGTGTAAAAATATAAAAAAAGTTAATGATGAGAAAATAAGATAAGGCTGCTGGGAAAAGAACAAACACTGATAATATTTCTAAATAATTCATAAATTATACAATAATACGCGAAAAAAGAGGATACATAAATCAAAGGAACTCCCCTTGAGTTCAATTATATGTATACAAAGAGTTAGCCAACTTGGGCATTTCACATAAGCGCATCCACTGCCGCCCCAAGCGATATTGCACACTTCATATGGGATTTATTACATAAGTATGAGGGAAATATTCCAATTAATATATTATTTATTACTCCGTTGAAAATAAAACAACAGCATGGATCTTGTACATTATTAAGCGGTAGAGCGAAGTGATGCAAGCTTTATAGGGGAGTCGACGGAGTCCCTCTGTCCGTCGGTCCGTGAACACGATAACTGTCAAACGGTTGAACCGATTTGGTTCAAACTTTGCACAGATGACAGGACACAAGTAATAAGCCATTTGAAAATGAGTCAAATCCAATGATCCCTTCGGGTCACGCCTCTCTGTCTCTACCAAACGCTTGAACCTATTCAGTTCAAACTTTGCACAGTTGACCTGCATGCCACATGTATTAAGCCTATTGAAATGGGTCAAATCTAGAGTCAAATCAAATGACCCCGTGGGGTCACGTTTCTCTGTCCCTGCCAAACGCTTGAACCTATTCGGTTCAAACTTTGCACAGTAGACTATGCCACATGCCAATTGAAAATGGGTGAAATCCCATGATCCCGTAGGTTCACACCGAGATGCTCTGTCGCTTTTTAGATGCTCTTTAGGGGTTTATTTTAGGTCAAACTGCAAAATATCGGCAGCATTTGAGTTTAATCAACAGACACCAGCGATATTGCCAAAATTATAACCTCCATTGTTATGTGGTTGTAAACAAGCGCGGATTCAGGTAAATGCATTTTGTGCGCATGTCCGTGTTGGACGAAATTTGCACGATGACGTCCGTCATATTTTTTACTGCATCCAACTCCCCCCTTTTGTAGAAGCTGGATCCGCGCTTAGTTGTAAATCATAATTTGTATGTCGATTTCTTTGTTGTGGTGTACCTAAGGGTTGAATTCCCTTGTATTCTCCAATCCAAACTAATTGTAGATTTGTCGCATAGCGAATTATGGCCCACTGTTTGTAATAAGCAACAATGATAATATGTTAAATTTCGTCTTATTGCTACGGTCATTGCGCTCTTGTTTTTAATCAATTATCCCCATTATCCGCAATTTTTAATCGATGGCAAATTTCCATTATCGGGCGATCTCGATTTGTCATCAAACCTCGCTATTGTCATTCATTCTTATCCATGTTACAAATTGCATGAAGTGGTTCACTTTGAAATGAACACCCCGTACACCAACCATTAAAGGGAAACAAAACCTGGCTAATGGCTACTGCATTAATGATCGATTAATGAATAAACGTGTAGGTTTGGTCAATAATCCCTTCAAGCGGTAATTAAGTGAAATTATTTCCCACATTATTATTTAATAACCCTTCGACCTTTATGGTTGTATATCTTTTAATTGGTAAATTAACTGTGCGGAACAAGAATGTTATTTTTTGTTTAAATAGTAATTATATTGGAGTCTTATGCAACGGCCACGTTTGCGTGATGTTTTTAAATTGTACTATTATATTCCTTACAAAATGTAATGTTTTGCTCGGTTACGCAGCAAAATATTAAGCAAAATGCGTTTTAGGATTTATACACATTAAGAAATAAGAGGGTAGCTTAGAAAAGAACGAATATTTTATGCTTTGTGGATGCACACACCTTTTTGTGTGCTCTCCAAACACCTTATGCAGATATACCCACGCGCTAGGAAATGATGCTGACCCCTACGGCCATGGTCGAACGACTTCATACATCCATTTCTAAACGTGACGGTACGTTTATTAATGAAAATACGGGTTACGCATGTTTCAAGATCATCATCCACAGGTTGCGTAAATAATTTGAAAGGCGTGGAATGGTCCTACGCATACGCGTAAGTAAGGGGTAATAGGCGACAGTCAGTCGCATTTGAAGCACCCTATTTCAGGCGCCTATCCTACAACTTGCGTCGCGGCGTTTCTCGAGAACGTCGCGTCTAAATAGTTTAGGCGCGTATTAAAGAAACGGGGATCAATTCGGAATTTTTTATTCGAGATGCTGTTTCATTGCAACATTGACTTGGAGTGAAAATTATACCTACGTGCAAATTGTGTGACTATGTGCAAGAATTGATAAAGATTGTGAGGGGTAATTAAACAGGTGAGTGTTAATAAACATCACTTCTAGCCCAAATATCGAAGTTTTCCGCTCTAGTGAAGTGCGCGAAAACATTAAATTCTCTAATTTGTCTATCTATTACATAATCCAATGCTCGAGGACAGTGTTATAGCACCAGAAATGTCTTTGTTATGTGGGTATATTACGTCATTTCAGTGGAATTAGATTTTCCGCGCGGAGAGTGAAAAACAGATTAATCACTCGAACTTCTATTGGAAATAACGCCTTTTGACATTCAATTAATGTTAATATTTTTACTGCTGTAAACTAAACAAATTGCGGCCTGACCTATATTAATAGGACCTAATTGCTGTGTTTCATTTGACCATGGAAAAAATTGTAATGGATGGTTAAATCTAAATGCAATATAAAAATTACGTGTGTGAAGTAAACTGAGGATTTGGATTCGTTTTTTAGACTTCATTCCAAACATAATTTTTGCAGAGTGCGAAGTTAGCTTGGGATTCGCAATTGTTGAAGTTAAGCAAGCCTTTTCTCACAGTAAATGAATTATGGCACATCCTTGTTACTAAGCAGTAAAAAACCTCGGTATATTTCTACTTACCAGGTGGTAGACAGAACGCCCTGTATTTTATTTTTATCGCATTCTCGAAATTTACATAATAGTATATTAAGAAACAAGTGTATAATCAAGTCTTTAAAGCACACGCAACAAGTTTAAGGGCACGACGCGCAGCGGAGTGCCTTTAAACGTTGCAAGTGCTTTAAAGACCAATTATACACGCGTTTCTTATGGTATTTTTTGTTATACCGGCAATATAATTTAAAAATAAGAGAAATAAAATGAAATCATATTGATGTTATACTGGAATACATGTCTAATTAAGTGGGCTGATTATTTGTCATTCCATGATTGCCATGGAAATGTCACTTGACATTCGCGTATAATAAAAATCACCATCTTTGTAAATAAAATGACTTCGGTTGAAGAAGACAATACACCGTCTATTCGGTGGCTTATTGCTGCAGCAGAAGAACCTGTAAAATCAAAATGCAAAAGCCATTTTATAAAGAATATATGAAAAACTGTTGGCGTGGATTAATAGGAAGCATCTTTCAAACATGGTCTTAAATGCATCGTTCATGCTGTCATATATGAAGGAAACGTCAAAGGTCGGTATTTAACTCTTCTACCCTTCGGGGCATTCATTCAAAACTTCAATCAATACTGCGATTAGAAAATGCAAGAAAAGATTTGGCAGCATACCTACTCTAAACCACGTGCGTTTGTGAAAGCTTCCCACACAGGATACGAGCCAAAGACACTTTTTTCATTTGTAAAAAGCGATCCGAGAGGATATTTTATTTCAATCTGAAATTACAAATATAGTTTCATATGTCATATTTGAAGTAACGTTACTTATCAACCTTTAAAGCTCTGCGTGTTTTAACCGCCTCTTTACGCACGCTCAGGGCGTGTTTTAAAAAGCGATTCTTATGCAGGTAGGTATAATAAAAAAAATAGTAGTCTTCCAAAATCTACAATGCTGGCTTGATGCTACATGAGAATGATTTAAATTTTGATCGTCCTTTTCAGGGTGTTTTAATTAATGGTAAATTTGAATAACTTCAAACCTTAAATGCGTCTTTTAAAAAAATCATCCTTTTTTCCAGTGCTTATACAATTAGAGAATTAGAAGCAAGATAAAAAGAGTCGCATATTATTTTCAGTAGGGGATCTGACATTCCGAAGCAGATCTTTTAGTTCGGCTCATATTCAATAGCATTGATCCTTGAAGTCGTAGAAATCGATCGGGGAATGTTTGACATCGCTTTTCGTTCTGGAGGAAAAAACAGACAGACGGACAAAACCATCACATAAGGGTAATTTTTTTCTTTCGAAAAATTCCCCTAAAAATGTATGGCAATGTTACGTACAGGCTCCTAATTTTTATATCCTCTGTACTGATGAAACAATTCAGTTTAATGCATCTTCCAACGTCCCCAGCTATTCCCAGAACTTTGACGATTGATGACATTGAGACAATACATGTAGTACAGAGAAACATAAAGAGATTATTCCTTCCCGTTTTCAAAACTTTTGCGGATTGATGACGCCTGGACCACGTGGATAAGAAAAACACATAAAAAATTAGAGTAGCATATATCATTTTTCCCACGTGTTTATAGGCTGTTTGAAAATAATTGTAAAATGTTTCTCATTACCTTCATAACTTTTGCTGATATCTGTCAGTGCACCACCAGGTAAGTAGAAATATCATTTTTTCTCGATCTGTTTATATAAGAGGAAGTGCAATTTTCTCACATTCCACATATTGTGCGAATAGATTTAAATACGATTGTGAATTTTTTTAATACACGAACCGCCAGTTTGTAAGCACCGAAATGCTGTAAAAAAAAGCAACAGTAATTTGTGGCTATTGTTGTCTATACAGGCTGAGTCAAATTCGAGGGTACCATGGATATCTCGGAAACTGTAAGAGGTAGTTTAAATTTGGCGAAGTTGTGTATTTTGATGCTTAACAAAATACCGTTTTGAAACTGAAAACATTTCGATTACTTTCGGAAAAAAAGGAAAATTTGCAAAATCGTTTTTATTTTTTACCGCAGATATTAAAAAAATATATTTCAAAATAAATGACACGTTATTATGGCCGCACTTTTTTCCCTCTACAAGATGCTAATTTTAAATTTTATGTCTGACGTTTCGCCTCCGGTTAACCATCATCAACTTTGTTTTTCTTATAGAATCGATAAAATAGAAGTCAAAAACGTATTTCACAAAACTCTTCACCCTTCAACTATCAACGCAACGGTCGCGGCTGACACTTTCTGTTGTTTAGTGTCCCCCTACGACACGCAGTGCCCTCTGCGGTAGGGTTATTGTTTCCCGCCCTACACATGTAGTGTATGTATGTATGTATAAAATCGAAAAAAATTAGGGCCATACTGAAAAGTACGATTACTTCATATAAAATGAAGTCATTCAAAATCGGGAGAGCTTGAGAAGCTACCGTTTGCGTTGTAGCATCTGAGCTGCCACTATCAGCAAGCAATAAAATGGTTTTGAAGAGCCGCGCACTCGGGACAAACGAAGCGAATAAGGTACACTGTCGGGTATAAATAAGAACATAATATTACATCATAAAGATCTATTTTTATTTTTATTTTATTTTTTGATTTGTGAATTGGGTAGTTAGTTGGTTGTCTTTTCGACTCTTATAGATCTTGAATAAAAATTCTTTTTGTAGAAAATCGACATCTTAGTCAATTAGGTACCTTGACGGGCTTTACTTACCCATACAATCGGCATGTTGTATACGAGCACTACGTTTATGTTACACTAATAAGTGGATAGCAAAAAATATGTATACGGTTTTTTCTGATGGGCGAAAGGTAAAAAATACGTGTGCATTTTGCTTTCGCCTTTTTACCCGTGCATTTGTCAACAAATGAAATAAATACATAGTTTTCATGCCGACTTTTTTGCGAAGGGCGTCGGTACAGTGATCGATTTCAAGGCGCCAAGAAATTATATGTCCCGGTAATTGAAACAGTTTCTTCTAGATACAGAATTCATGGTAGTTAAAACACCTGTGGAACCTAATAGTAACTAAACATTGGCCGGGGTAAGTGAATTTTTAATTCATTAAAATGAAACATGAATACCTACTTCGAAAATTGGGAAAGGGACAAACAAGATCTATGTATTAAAGAAATATTAGGCTTATAAGATGAAACTGAATATTGCCAACTATTCAAAATGGTGTGTGGACAATTTGCGCCCGGAATTCGCTCCAGGACAATTCGCTCCCATAACAATGCGCTCTCGGAAAATTCGCTCCCGGAAAAAATGCGTGTTGAGACGAAATGGTTTGTGAGATATTGAAAAAACAAAAGTTGGAAACTGTTGGTTCCAACAGGGTGGTGCATCCGCGCACAACGTGCGAGAAATACCTATCGCACAAATTTCCTGGAAAATGGAATGTCCGATTGGCGCGATGTGTGCGTGTGCACAATCCTGTTGCATCAACAGCTTTTGTTTTCTTTGTATGCCGTATATTGTGTTGTATTCGTAATAAAAAATTGCTACTCAATACAGTGTGTACTTTTTTTACCGGGCTATATAAAAAAGTATTGATGATTTCTCTGAAATGAAACGTTGAATTGAAAATCTCTCAACGCTGTCTTGTAGAGCTCAAGAAGTGGGACTAAGAAAGTTTTTTAATTTTCTGTTAATAACACTAGAAAAAAAAATAAAAAAGAAATCGGGAATTTTCGGGTTTTCTTTTAGCAAAATAATAACCGTTTCTCTAATTTGACCATGTCGTATCTTCTATTATTTGGAAGATCCCAATGATTTTTAAATGATCCTTAAAATCCGAATCATCAAAGAGCTCGCGCCAAGTGAGTAAAAAACTAATAGTTACGTATATCTTGCAGAAAGTTGCAGTTATCACTGGTAGCGGTTTCAAATCGAATACAGGGGTAATTCAGAAACCAGTAAAAATGTCAACTTGACAAATTCAAACTGTCAGTATTCTCCACATGCTCTACATTCCAAATTTCCTATAGGTTCTGATTTAAGAACATACCTTGACGAGCACGAAGAAATGCAAAATTTCATCGTAATCGGTCCATCCGTTCTCTTTTAAATCGATGGACATGAAGCCATTGAGCGAGCAAGCGATCGTACGATTGGAAGAAAGCTAAACCGCCTCGTTTAAAATTCGACCATTGAATAGCAAAAGGTAAGTATATGGAACAATAGGCAAATATTTAATAATCATAACGAATAACTTATTCGTTTTTCACCATCTTAGGACGGTAATTATTTATTATATTATTACAACATGTACTGTAAACCATATTTTCAGCACGGCCTGATGATGAGCAATATGCCCGAAATCGATCGCCATTAAAGAACTTTTTAAATATTTGCCTATTCTTCCATATACTTACCTTAGATAATGTAATTGTTTAAGTCCTCATACGATAGG